ATATATATATATATATATATATATATATATATTAGTTATAATTAACTAAGGAACTAGTAATAAACCTTCGATTAAATTGACTGGCCAATCAGATTTGAACATGGTGATCAGACTACTTAAACATAAAGTGAGGTCTTGCAGAAACAAACAACTTCGACAACTGCTATATTCCTCGTTTTAGTGCTTTAGGCATAATGTTGTTGCACATACACTCTTCATTGATACCCAAACTGCAACCTTGGAAGTATCAAAACCATGCATGGCTTGATTCCAGGATTCATGCGCAACGAAACTAAGACCTTCCGGTAATTCTGGCGTTGCAATACCGAAAGTGGCCTTCAGCTGAAGTTGGGGCATGCTGGTTGGAGCTTTCTGTCGATAGCTGAAATAAAGAGAATTAATGAAAATACATAGATAAAAAACGCTACTGATAAATAATAAGTAGAACAAACATCATGGCATTTTCAGTTTCAGCTTTTGATAGCGTTCGCTGAGCCAAGGGTTGCAACCGATTCAAGAAATGGAATTCTGAGCCTGAACCGGATTTGTAAACTTTGGCGGCATTTTGAGCATGAGTACAGTCTACAAATAAAATCCCAGTCTTAGTAAAACCAAACACACTTCAAATACTGCAAATATTTTAGGAGTACGCAATCCACTTGCATTTGAGGGCTTCTTGGGCCGATGCGATGGCCATACCACAATGATCTGCTTTCAGTTCACTCTCAGAGTGAAAAACATGGGCCTATATAAATAGAAAACGAACATTCTTTAGATTAAGAAGGGACACAAATGGAACCACAGAGTTCATTTGGTTAAATTAGCAAACCTAGAATCACCAGATAACTCAAACTTGATAGAAGCCATCGTCATCTAATCAATAAAATTTAGAAGCATCTTCTGGAATCTCAGATGAACTTGAAATGCCTTCAAGACTGAAATCTACGCACCGCATTGTCGTCTCTCTTTACTACAGTCCTAATCAGACGTTTCTTCAGCTCGTTTAATAATAATAATAATAATTGTACAACAATAAAAGATGTAAAAAATCACCCCCCCCCAACGGACAATCATTCAAAATAAAAGAGAGGTCATGCAAGCGGTTGGTCATAACATGTCCCCACCTTAATTGCATAGCTATTAATGACAAGTAGCTATCTCAAATGAATGTAGTAATTATTAGTAGACATTTGGATATGCCTTTTTCATGACTAGATTACTGGGGTGCGCGTTAGAATTACCTCCACGTGGTGCACCCTGGGCAACGTATAC